AATGCGATTTCGGCACCTCGCTGCATCAACAATTCAAATTTTACTTGTGGCTGCATGATCAAACTGTACAAATTTAAAAATAGGTAATGACAAGATAGTGGGAAGATAACAAAACTATGTTGGTGCTACTGCGGGTGGTCACTTGAATCTTTGCGGACAAAATAATTGGATTGCACATTGAAGAACAACGCGAAGCTTATGAAGTGTTGCGGTCGCCGCACAGAAAGAGAATGATCGTGGTGATAATCATGTATCTTGGTTCAAGTATTGCTTCACGGATCCTGCGAAGATATACACAATAATGGGGTTCTGCAGAGAAGATCATATCATAATACGAAACGTACCAATACCTAGAGACTATTGGTCCATTTTGTACATGACATGCATCACACCAATGATAACTACGTAAGACATTCCTAAAGAAGTTGCGTGGCTGCGAAGATAATGGATTCTGATGTCGCATCATAGAGTGTGAGTAACCAATGGCAAGGGGTATCGACATGTCCACAACATTTATGTTGTAAATTTATGCTATAATGATACAGACTTTGATCCGGAATACCATGATTGTGATTTAACCTATTCTAATTCATACTATTTCAATATCAATTGAAGTGATTGTAGAAAAATATGCAATCGAGCATGTGTGTATTTAATCGTAATCTTTACATCAGAAATGTATTCGTGAAAACTATTCCGAACATATGCTTAATGTCGGCAAATGCTTTTGTTTTAATGCGAATGTCAAAGACGCTTCATATCACCTACCGTGAAAGGTAAAGCTAACACAATTTATGGAATTTGCCATCTCCATACATTGTCTCATTCAACATGTAGTACAATTATTCACTTCTTAATTTTGTATTTATCGTCAGCTTGATATTAGTCGACATATTAATATAATCTGTACTGATTACGTTTTGTTATAAAACATTATAAACTTGCACCGTCCATGTCAAGTTGAAAAGCAGATGAAAATGCACGATTATATATACAAACATAAATGATTTGGGCAAGATGCTCAATATTTTGAACACACCACAACATGTAAACATATTTTGCTATAAATTACTAGATGATATGTAAAATAATATAAAATCGTGTTGACCAGACGTTTACCCACAAGCGTACTAAGCACCGTATAAGCAATACTCCTTTATCGTTTTGTAATGTACAAAACGACGTAGCAAAATGGATTCAATAGTGTAGTCCCGTGATTCTTGGTGCACAATTAATTGATGTAATTAGAGAGAGAGACGGTTTGAGGTATATCCGGTACGCATACAACCCACTTAATCCGGCTTTGTTAGCCACTCTCTGGTGATATGTATTCGTAGTGCCTGCGCGGGTATCGATCCACACACCTCCCGGTCCCGGTTCCTGTGCAGTTCCTCTCGTCCACCGGGACCGGTTTTTGAAGCAATCATGGATCACTTCATGTTTCAATGAAAGTCGTGTACACGCAATTACGTTTGCCATACGGGACACAAACTCCATGATACGAGCACCGGTATGCTGTGTCTGCACATAGGGACCAACTGTTCTAAGAGTATGGCATACCAAAGTGTACTTACACAGCATCACATACATTCGATGTGCAAGGGAGGGCCCAGCTCGAATGCTTGTATGCATTACGTCCTACCTTGCAGATTGCAACATTGCATCTATCTTCACGGCACCAGGCTGCTATCGCTAAATTTAAGCCGACGCCAATAGTGCTAGGAGCAGCTTTGTTAGTGTGGATGACAAAAAACACTTAATCATCATTGAGCGACACATCCGCTTGCTTCTTTTTTGCCTGTCAGCAAAGGATCTGCATGGCTACCTGCAACAACATGCATGTTCGCGCCAGATCGACGATCGGACTGCGCCTAAAGCCATGCGAACCGGTATTTATGCAATAAATCGATCAATTTAAATAGCTTTTCGATATTTAGTGCAAATCAAGTCGCCGATTTATGCATGGTGGGATATTCCAACCGCTTTGAATGGCTTCTTCTACTGCTGTACTGCATCGTGCGAATTTCGACTTACGCGAGCCACATCCTACTGACTTTTGCGCCGTCGCCGCCAAATCTACCAATTTGCTACAGTGGAAGAGAATGGTCGGACGAGAAACAACACACGCGCAGGCATTTAACCCGTTTTCCACAACCGATGGTCGAATCCTCCACATTTGTTGTAAAGCTCCTCCTTCTCTTGGCGATCAAAAAGTTCCTTCCCCGCATTTGACATACGTTGCAGCTATTAACTGCAGTTAGTCATAGCCGACAAAATGTGCGCTCCCGCATAAGGACCGTGGGCTGGTCGGGCGCGAGAGAGACGACCGCTTTCCTGGCTTCGCATTTTGAGCACAAAGGTTGCTCACAGCTGGTACATGTTCGCCGAATGGGATCTCCGGAATCCAAAAGCTTTGTCGCCCACAGGGCATCGGATTCGATAAGCAAAGGAACTTGGACATTTTGTTGCTGAGCCGGAGGCGCGAAGTATAACAGGTCGTCAGCGAACGAATAGATTTGAGATCGTGATCTCCATTACGATTCTCGCGAACTCGATAGGACCATTTCCTCTTTGCTAACGCACACGTGCGTTCCCGTGCGAACGAACTACTGAGTTGCGACAATGTAGAGCGCCATATTTAGAAGCTCTCCCTGAGTCGACTCGAAGTCGAAGAAGCCGCGTACGTAGCATTCGACAGTTGTGGGCTTGGTCGTATATGGCACACAATGACATGTTTCCTCGCTCGATGCCGTGCGCTTTGTCATAGCTCGAATCTCCTGTAGAACTGCTGAGACTGAACTACCGTATTCGAACGTCACCGACATCTGCAATCCTTTCGGCGTCCAGTATGACAAAGTCACGGCTCTCGTACAGACGTCACTTCACTGCGACAGTGCGCAATGGGAAACCGAAGCTAGGGCGTACGATCTCGTAGAGCACCTTGTTGTCCAGAGAGCTGACCTTGATGCACGCCGATTGGATCTTCATGGTCTCATTTGTGGTGGCTACTGCTCCTTACATGGCGTCCTCGAGCTTGCCCTTCATCGTACCGAGACGCAATGATGTGGCGTCGCGGGACCTTTCGATGAAGACGAATGGCGTTTGTTGTAGATTTATACGTTGCCGGCGAATTTTGCGCCAATGTTGGGGGTCGGCATGGCCATCTTTGGTCATGACATAAAGTCGTGTTGGGCAATGTTATGCGCCATAGGCGTGTCATCCAGATGCGGCAACATGTTGCAGTCTTGCCTAGCAATCGTGGGCTCGGGTGGCAGGTGTGCAAGCCGCATAACAGTTTGTTGTTGCTCGAGGCTGCAGCCCTAAGCGACTGTAGACATCACGATCTGCTACGGACAAACATATCGGGCGACACAGAAAATCAAGAAGAACATGCAATGCTACGGGCCAGTGCTCCATGGCTCCCTCCCACACCCATCGAAGAAAAGTCAGCAGGCAAGAACAATAAGCTGCATAAAATCATTCTTGCACAGGTACTCGAAAATGTTCGAAAAGAGGAAGTGCTTGACTGCGCGAAATAGTGGCTGATCCAGGAATATGTAGAATACCGACCGTGCGTCAAGTTTCGGTGGTGATGCATTTCATGGTAAGAGGCTGACGCTGATTAGGGGGTTGTGTATATTCATTCGGTAAGCAGCAGGAATGACAAGCTTTTCAAGTATCAGTAGCTCTCTCAAGAGAAAAGCTGCATTTGCGGCGGCGGTCATTATCCTGATTCGGGCGGCCGTACCATCTTGCCAAGAATACTTACACTACATCAATGAGTGGCGATAAGCCCATCATCCAAGTTGTCGTGAAGTTCTGCAAGCTTGACTCGGGAAAAGGCCACAAGTACGTGTCTTCCACAATACTGACCGCAACCCGAGGCCAATCTTTGACCGGCAAGTCGTCTGCGGAAATGAAGCACATTTGCAGATATATATCCGACTGATTGATGCTGTGGTTGTAGTAAGTGGGATATGGATGACAACCACTCAGCTGTAGCGGAGCAGTCATGGTCGTGCGGTTGTACGCCCACCATTGTGCACAATCATGCATTTCCTTGGGTGAGCTAAGCAGGCGAGTCGATAGTGCATAACGTGACTACAACTGTGCAACCCATTCCTCAAGCTTAAAACATTGGTGAAAGTCCGCTGCCTCGATGAAACGCGCATTCACGATGGCATCACATCATCCTCCTGGGCCGGCTACTTTGCCCCATATCGGACGCCAACTAGAACCACTAGCGCCCAATAGCAAATGGCGGGACTTTCAAGATTTGGAATAAACTCGCTCCATTGGGAGCTAGAAGAGTGCGCCGAAGGAGAGACCTGGAGTGCCTTCACCAATCCTTTTTGAGATGGCGGCATCAACGCATGAGGTATGCTTCAATGCTACATGCAATATCACCTCAATGGGCTTAGCTTCTGCAATTACGTGAGCGTGTTGTGAAGGACGGGAATGCACGAGAAACGGTGGGTTTGCACGTCCGCAGCAACCTGTACGCACTCCACGCTGAATGATTGTCGTATCCGATGATAAGAAGCTACGCCTGCTTGCAAGAATTTGCGCCGTAGCTACTGCAGCGTTTTTAAGAAAATATCACACTCCATGATGTCTTGCAACAGCGCCTTCCGTGAAGTAGCTACATACACGACGGGTGTATGCAGTCGGTAGCACTCGATGCGTATACGATGTTGTACGAAAGTGAAATGACGTCAGCAAAGCTCAATGTGCCACCACGCCGGTAATTGTGCATGGAAGATCCTTAGATAGAGGTGGTGGTAAGTTATTGCGGCTTCGATCTTGCTTTCAGTCACTGTGGCGACTTCCGATACGTAGCAAGACGAAGCAAATGGGTTTCGGAAACGACGATTTGGTAACTGAATGAAAAGGTCACGGAACAGCTTGAGCGTCGCAAACCGTTTACTAGCTGAACAGTTCATAAACATACCTAATGTACATACAGGTGCATAACCGACAACATGGTAAGTAAAGTGACTCTACATTGCCATGGATTTCCTACCAATACAACTCTGACAATTGATCCCGCTGTGGCGGGAGACTGCACTCTGCATAAAACTAGTCCTCGATGGTCGCGCCATTCCCTTGGCTTTAGCCACGCAAATTTCATGGTACACTTTGGAGCTGGCCAGCTCCTCCCGTGCCACTTCCAGCGCGTCGCTGTCGGCTGCTTCTACAAGACAAGTGGAGCAAAAGCTTCGCTTTTTCTCAAGCACAGAGCGCTGGTCTGGAGCCACGACGCAGACGAGTTGTTTGGAGCTACATCGCGAACACACTTGACGTAAACAGCTCTTGCAGGTTTTACAGCTCGTGCCCAGGAAGCCAAACCTTCGTGAACACAGGGCACACTTGTTCCTATTCGGGGCTGATGTCTCCTGGATATACGACAGCCGGTCGCCGTTAATGGACAGCGACGCCGTGCAGCCCGATCGCTTGCGCATTCGCCACACCAATTTCTTCATTAGCGCGCAACGACGCTTGCGCGTATAGCACGCCCACTGCGCCGCTATGGCCTGCAGTGACATCGTGTTGACCATTTCGTTCTGTGTGTGGAAGTCAAAGAAGCCACGCACGTAGCACTCGACGGTCGTCGCGGTCTTCTGCAAGTAAAGCGAGCACACCGACATGTTGCCACGCTCGATGCCGTGCGTGTCCTCCATGCCAGGGATCTGCGCAAACGCCACCGAGTGCGAAATGTTGTACCCAATTCGCTCGCGCTTGACCGTGTACGCAATGCCAGTGGTGTCCAGCGACACGTAGTCGCGCTGGTTGTTGTAGAGGCACCACTTGACACTCACGTGGTGGAACGGATCTTCCACTGTGGGTCGCACCAGCTCGTGGAGCACTTTGCTGTCAATGACCCCGTCCTGGATGCACGTGGACTTGATGCGAATCGCCTCGTCTGTGGTGGCCACCGTCCCGTACATGACGTCGTCCAGCGTACCGTCCACGGTCCCAAGAAGAAGCAACGACGGCGTCGACGGCAGTCCGTTGTACCGGTTGCGCTCTCGATAGATGCGCACGCCGTCTTTACGCCGCAGCTCTTTCCAGCAGCGGTTGTCCGCGAACCCGTCCTTCGTCTTGAGCAGCGTGTTGTACTGCTGGATGTTGTGCACGGCGAGAGTCTCTGCGAGCTCACGCAGGAGGTCTCCGTCTTGCTCGGACATGGCCAACTCCAGCGGCGCCAAGTTGGACGTCGACTTCATTGCCGACAGCGACAGACTACCAGGCGACGTGTGTCGTCGGATCGTTTTTTTTCTTGGTGGGCTGTGCGGCTCGCAGGCGTGTCGCGCTGGCTGGCAAATGCAATAGTGAGCTGTAACCCATTTGTGCGAGCAGCGGTCCGCCTTGAAACTGTTACGGGGGGCGGTCATCGGACAGACGCAAGAGACCGCGCAGACGAGCCGCCATAAATTATATGTGCAAGACTCGTCGTTCGTGGTTGCGGATGCCGCCCAATGACAGCCGCGCGCTGAACCGACCACCTCGCTGTGCCAAAGCAGCGACTTCACGCTGCCTTTGGTGCTCTTACCTCTGCAAATGTTCTTGTCGCTGGCTGAAGTAACAACTTGGACTGCATTCTCTGTCGTACAAAGAGGGAGCGAGCAAAGACGGGACGGTGCACTGAAATGAAGCCGGATGGTGCCCCAGCGCCGGGGCGAAGCACATCAACATGGGAGTGGATCAACATCGGTCCACCTCGATTTGGTATCGCTGCCCGGGTGACGAGAGGACGTGCGTGCGTCGCAGGCAGCAAATGATTGCTAGCAGAGACCTTGCTGCGCGCCGGCGATAGCCTCATGGATTGAACGCGTGACCTGCTCACGGTGGAGACGCGTTTTGTGGCGAGACGCGGCTGGAGGTACACGTCCGCCGCGACCGCGTTCCCGTCTACTGTTGGCCCCAATGTCATCGTAGCCACAGCCGTTTCTTTGGTCTTTTGGACCGGCGGGCGCGCATACGAAGGAGCGATGCGTCACTGTGCTGATTTGCATCGACCAGGCTCAGACGGCCTGCACTTGGACTTGTTCGAGTCCGCGGTACGCACAATGATTCGTATCACGCGCGACGAGGCGGCGCTCAGTTTTCGGTTTCATTTCCGCGATACGTGCTGTGTACCCTCTAACTGTGTTGATTGAAGTAGCGGCGGCAGTCCAAAGCACCTTTGATCAGAGCGCACCGAACGAGTCTCCGTGTCAATCTTTCGCGCGGACGCGCTCATGCGGAGCCAACCGGTTTGAGTCAAGATACATACATCGTGCTCCAGAGGCTACTGCGTTGAAGCTTGGGCTCGAACTTCGCTTCGACCATTGTCGCAAATCGATGTCAGCCACAACTAATATTCCATCACCCTGCACTTCAACGATGCGTTTCGCTCGACGCTGCATATACGGCTGAGCGGATGCGTTCCACCCCTCGTCGTCATCAACATCCAAATCGGACCGGGGGCTTAGGCGTTTACCATACCGCTATGTTTAACGATTGGACGCTACACTCACGGGTACTACCTCCGCCGGCTGCGTACAAGTCGCAGTGGCCTGCACTTACTTCAAGCAAGGTCACATCACTTTGTACCACTTGTTCTCATCCAGGCTACCGCCGCTGCTGACTCACGATGATGCAGACCGAAATGTGTTGACCCTTCTGTACGTATTTTGTCTTAACAGTTGTTATCAGTGCTCAGATTCCGAATACGTGAAACTAGCAGTATCAGGATGCTCGTCGTCCAGGTTGTAAAGCTTGTTGTGGTGGCAAAAAAGCGCCTGCGGTGAAATCTCTGTGCGCGTTGTTGCCAGCCTTGCAGATTTGAGTCGTCATGTTTCCTTCATGGCCGAGCGCCCGGTGACAGGGTTCGATATAACGTAGTATCGAGCTTGCTCGTGTATCAGATCAAATTGCAGTACCAGACCTCTGCGTGACTATACAATTCAAGTGTACAATAGAGTGTTGCGTACTGATCAACTCCTAGCGATGGCAATGCGTCCATCCGAACGACCGCTCCAGCATTTATGCTTGACCTCATGTGGATGAAAAGGGTTCACTAACCCCCTGCTTTATTGGCCATTCACACTCTTGGCGGCCTCATGTTTTCACTGATCTGACTTTCTGCTACTACTAGTACTATTGCCACCTCGCGATAGAAGTCGATAATCTTTGCTGGCTCTCGCTTGGAAACTCTTGCGTCGACGGTCATTCGTGCAACCTGGTAGAACGTGGTAACCGGCGTCGCACGTTCATTCTCTGCGGCGTCACGATACCGATGCTGATCATTCTCACGCCATTTATGGTCGCCATCGGTCGATCTCTCCACCCGCTCAATGTGACATTACAGCAATTCTCGATAACTCGTTGTGCAGGGCAGTTTGTGTCATGGCAGGTTATGTGCAGGTGCATACAATGAGACTACAGCGTTGCCTTACGTACACGATGCTGAGTTCGTCTAAGCCGTAGATGTGCTTAGTGCGCTTTGACCTTCACTCTTTGTGCACACACGAACTGACCTGGTGTGTTGTTATTTCTTTGGTCATGCAAGAGCAGTCACGACCGTGGAGGTAGAACCATTTGCACGCAGAACATACACTCTTCCATGGAGCATCGAAGATAGTGACTGACCTTTTGACTGCATGCTTTATTCTGGAAAAGAAGTAGGAATCTATATTGAATCCCAGATTCTTCAATATAGTCAACCTCCCCATCTGACGACCTTTCTCCGAACCCAACACCGAGGGTCTGTCCTTTCTTACGCGCAAGTGGCGTGTGGGAGCAGAAACGGGAATTTTGTCTTGTCTGCAGCATGTGACGCGGTCGTACTTCCGAGACTCAATGATGATGGGTTTGTGGATGCCAGAAGCAAAGTCGATACCGTATTGTAAGTTTCAAGAGCGAAGATCATTCAGACTCAACATTTTGGACGTCATGGAAAGTATGTCGTATGCCATCTTCCCAATTGAATGATCTTCATTGTATCTATTGAACCCATTGAAGCGACGGATTACTGCAGGCAGAGCCCCGGTGCCTTCGTTGCGCGCGGTCGTAAGGGCCACGCCTCTTTAGATGGCTGCAAATCTACAGAGCGTGGAAAAGGCAAGCAATTCTGAACATCTGAGGAAGTGGACCAGACGGTCTGATTGACTCCTGCTGACTTCTCGAACATGTCCGTGCGAAGAGTATTCCCGGGTCTCACCGTACTCATGACTACGAACGGTGTGATAGATACCTGACGCCGTTCTTAATCTCGCCTGCTTATTTTGCTAATCCAGTACGTCGAGCTCATGAGGAACGGGCTCGCATCAGGCGCGTGTAACCGATAACAAAGAAGGGATGTATGCAGGGCCAAGATGACGCCTGTAAGAGAGTCCAGTTGCTCTTTACACAGCCCCGATGGGTCATCTTTACTTGTCTCTTGATGTACTTCCGGTACTAATCGACCGGACAGCATCGTGTAGAATGGCATTTCCATTCTAGGAACAGGGTTTGCGCTCGTCGTACCGGTTGACGACTCGAAGTGACTTATTAATGGCTACGTGCATGACGTCTACTTCTCATCGAAACGCCCCTACCACGAGACGTCTTGCCTTTTGCTCTCCTTTCGGTTCGCGCACTACACTGCATCCCGTGACGCAAGCAGCAAAAGCAGGCATCCTAATGTGACCGACATCTGCCCCCCCCGACATTCGCTCCGGGGATTTCTTCTCTAGGGTAAGAACCTTGTAATAATGATTCATGTGGGTCTTCGGTTTAGCCGTGGTTGGTTTGTAAGCCCAAGCTGATAATGTTTGTTTGTACGTATGGGATAACGATTATCGACTAATGTTTGTTCGTACGTACATGTGATGACAAGTATCGGCTAATGTTTGCGACATAAATTTGCTCAATGTTAGCCAGTTAAGACATTTACTGCTACTTTACATATCGCTGTCGACTAAGCGTCGAGAGTATACCATCATCCGTGCACATCTGAAGATAATTATGAGCAGGATGGTAATTGCGGAGGGAAAATAGGAACGTTCGGTCTGCTTCTGGTGTTGATCACTTGCCACGATAGCTCGTCATGTCATTACCACAAGTGCGTGTCGATTTCATGCACGAAGCTGATATCGAAAAAGTCGCGCAGATGCATTAGCAGTTTTGATCAAAGTAGTGCGGGGGTTTGTTACAAAGACGTAGGAAATTGTACCTGACACGGATTCACAAGCGTCCAAAGGTCTGACAAAAAGGTTTCTTCAGCCGTGAAAAAACAAGATGAGCTGTATCAATTCGTTCTACGTACTATATGACCATCCGCTTTCGATCACCGTAAGCGAGCAATTTGAAGTTGAACGTCGAGTACATCGAGCAAGAAATCTTGAAATGACGGAAAATGATATCGCCTAGCTGCTGCTGTGATAGGGAAGCATTTTCCATGGCATCGCGAACGGAGCAAATTCAGTGCCAATATTTCCTAGGTAGATAAATTTAATCAAATTTCGCAGTATTGCCTTGTAAGGTAATTTTCAGTGTGCGAATAATGAATAATGAAACGGCCACTGACAGTCACGTCCTCACAAACAGTACGGATCTACCTCTAACTGACAACAGAGGTTATCTGTGCCCTATCACCTCACAGTACAGAGGAAGGCAAACTACGAAGACGATGGAGCTTATTAGTAGTAAAAGTAAAACTGTGTAAAATATACTGAAGTCCCAAAATATCTTCTCTGCCACTTAACCCTTTCTTAATTATATCTATATGAGAACTTAAATTGTGACGCCTACTTAGCACTCATTGCGCGCGTCGAGCAGCGACTGGAGTGATGTTGATATCATTTCATACATCAACCAATGAGCATACCCTTAGGATGCTGCAAGAATATCACTGTGTCTTGTAATTTTTTCTACATGGAACATTCATCGCAAACTTTCATATTATCAAATCTTATATATGATTATATCAAGTATCAGGCTCACCCCGTTACAAATAAATCTCAGCTCATCGATTGATATTCGACATGATAATAAGCCACCTATGCACCTATCGAATATGGACACGCAAGGAGTAGTAAAAATACGTATAGCACATGTCGATATTAACATCTACTAAGCAGATGCTCAAATATAGTAATTTCGACTGGTGAGGTGGGGAAAAGTGAGCTGTACATTGTATGCAATTTACAGCTTACCTTTCCCCTCAATCAAGCCAGATTTATCATCAGACTTAACCTGCAGT